ACAGTTTCACCTGTTTGTCTGTGGGGATTGTCTGCCCTCAGGTGGCCACTATGGGAATTGAAGGAAGCCGTTTAGGCCAGATTGTAGTCTTTGTTTGGATCATGGAGACAGGTAACTCATTTGCCACCATTTGATGTTTTAACAACAGAAATGTTACCCTTATAATTATTGTTGAAATGAACTATGCAGTTGTCTGAGTGAAGTAACAAGCGCAGTAGGAAGTGTACTGTATGTGTGTGTGGTTTTTTCTCTTTTGAACAGATGCTCTGATAAACCTCACTTGTTGTCACTTTTTACTAGGAAAGAAGAGCATGTTAAAGACTTCAGTTCGAATCAGTTAAACATATGGTGTTGTTAAAGCTTATAAAGTTACCAAGAACTCCCTTGAAATCTTTGCAAAATAAAACACTTGGCTATGGAAGGACTGGGATCATAGAAGAGGGGGACATACTTTTTGGTTGTCACAGTCTGATAAAATGTGTAAGACTGGAGTACGACAGAGAGTGGTTACAAAGAGGAGATGAATTTTGGTACACTATAAATCCAACCACAAACCTCCAGAAGATAATGAAGGTGCGCAAAACAGTTACGTAACAAAACAGTTATATAACTAAAACGTATTTTTCTCTTTAGTGTCATCATTTTGTTTACCAATTTCCATTTTATTAAAGGAAGATCGGAATTATTTATCTAGCAGACAATCATTTGCATTAGTGACTTGAACTACATAAATAAAAGATGTTTTACTGATTTTGCTTTAAATTTATATTAAAATGTATTCACTTTACTTTCAAAACGATACAATAGCGGGGTTTTTCCAACATTCTAGGTTTATGCCACGAATATAGATCAGTAATGAGCAGCACACCGACGAATGAAAAGAAACTATCTGCTTTGGCGGAGGAGTCGCGCGTTCCTTTGCAGAACACAACAAAGTTGCGGTTCCTCGTGAGCGCGCTTTAGGGGACTGGGATACAATTATTGTCAGAGGTACTGCTTTGGCCTAATACCTATTAGAACTACACCTAACAGAGCCACACCTGTGCCGCTATATTTACAGAATACAGTCAGAACATTTCCTGCAAAAGATAACTTATACAGCTGAGATTTTATATTAAAAGGTTATATGGAGACAAAACATTAAACTGTGGAGCATTCCATTGGCATTTCAGTTTGCCAGAATTTTTTTCGTTACAGAGCAGAGTCTGCATTTTAACCACGTGGACCGAGAAATATGAGCAAGTCTCACATATGTCACTGATCATGCTGTTTATGTAGAAAGAAAGAAAGAAAGAAAGAAAGAAAGAAAGAAAGAAAGAAAGAAAATAGTTTTTAAGAAGGAAGAAATTAGTCACATGGATTACTCTGTCACGGTGACAGAACGAATAGAAGTGTTTAGGTGGTTCAGTAGCATTTTGTAAGTCTGTTTCGTTTTATAAATACAGAATACAGATGATGATACAGTGTGTGTGTGTGTGTGTGTGTGTGTGTGTGTGTGTGTGTGTTAAAGCTGAATAATTACATTTAAAAGCCAAATACAAAAATAAAATTCCAGTTT